TCATAGTTTTTGCTCAAATTTTTGTGGTAATTAATAAAAAAAAATGAATTTAATAATTTTTGTAGTGTTTTATTGCCCAGTTCGAACAATTTTCGAAAGAAAATAGCTCATTTTGGGCCAATTTTTGGGATTTTTGAATTTTTGTGGGAAAATCACTGAATTGTGATTGTTTCCTTCATTCAATAATTTAGAAAATTATGAAAAAATGAGAACATTTCAATTACCACGAAACTTGAGGAAAATTGAAAAATTGGGAAAACTTGAGAAAAATTGAAAAATTGAGAAAAATTGGGAAAAAACGGAAAATTTGGCTAAAAAAATTGGGCAAAAACGAAGGAATATTGAAAGCAAAAGGAAATGAAATAGAATTGAGAAAAAACAATTAAGAAAAATTGGTAGTGAGGGAAGTATGGACTGGGGTTTAAAACCTAAATTAAACATTAAAATCCTGAGTTTGTGAAATTTGTGAAGATTATTTTACAGTTCTCTATTGTGTACGTTCTAGAAATTTCGAGACTCAAAAATTCAAAGCAACTAATGCCTTTCAGCAAATGCCCAACAATTTCCACAATTTTTTTTTTCATAAAGAGTGAAATATATGACACAAAATCAAAAAGAACAATCAAAAGACAATGAGAAGTGAAAATTTTCTGCCGTAGTTTTTGAAAATTCAGAAATATTGAGATTCTGAAGTTCTGAAATTCTGAGGTTTTGAAGCCCTGAAATTCTGAAATTTTGAAGTTCTGAAATTCTGAGATTCTGAAATTCGGAAGTTCTCAGATTTTCAGTTTCTGAAGTTCCGAAATTCTCAGATTCCGAAATACTGAAATTCCAAAGTTCTGAAATTCTAAGAATTCTGAGATTTTCAAGCTCTGGAATGCAGGAATTCAGAAACTCCTTCAAAAAATTGTACCCCCGAATCACAAGCGTTGTACCCCTGTTTGAAATGGGTTGTACTCCAGAATCATTAATAGTTTTCACCCCCAAATTTTTGAACCTACTAATTTTGTACCCCCGAATCACCAATTTTGTACCCCTAAATCAGTTGTACCCCCTTGTACCCCCCAAATTTTTTGCCAACTATAGGATTAGGCCGAAAGCCTTGTTTCTTTTGGTAGTATGGGAGACTCTGTGGTAAGAAGTAGTATAAGAGACCTTGGTAGTAAAAGAGACTTGGTAGTATGAGAGACACTTTGAAAAAAAGTAGTATAAGAGACAGTGGTAGTAAGAGACTCGGTAGTATAAGAGAAAAGTAGTATAAGAGATGGTTGTATAAGAGAATTTGCCGAAATCTCCGAATATCTTGCAATAGGCAATTTTTCTTCAATCAGCCAAATGTTTCTGAATTATGAATGAGAAGAAATAATGTTGGACAGTTATCTCTGTTCCAAACCACATCAAAAGCGAAATTACATTCTTGAATAACTACATGGAAAACAAAAAAAACCACTCATAATATGTAACGAAACCCTCTGAGACAATGCGATGTACCCCCTGAGTATTTCAGAGATGTACCCCATGAGAAAGCGAAAAATGTACCCCATGAGATTATACCTAAAATGTACCCCATGAGACTATGTACCACCTGAGACTTTGTACCCCATGAGCACGATGTACCCCCGATGTACCCCATTCTGATGTACCCCGGGAGTATGGGCCAGTTGCTTATTCTGTTGTTCGTGAGCAGAAGAAGACTATTGTCACCAAATCTGTCAACTTCGACAAGTGCACTGAACGTTCCAAGACCGCCTATGGACTTCGTTACACCTCCGAGTGCCCAGAATGCGACAACCAAACCGAAGTGATCCGTCCACAAACTGTCTACACCTATGTTTTGGAAAACAACAAACTCAAGCAATCCGAAGTCCGTTCTCTCTACACCATCAAAAAGTCTTCATGAAATCGAAATATATATATTACAGGTCAACGGGAAACATAAAGAAAAACGAATTCATTCTGCCACTCCATGGCGAGATTATCACCAAGTCTGAGCTAGAACGTCGGAAGGAAATCTATAGTAAATGCGGTGAAAATCATCTCTATCCGTTCCAAGCTGGAAATTATGTAATTGACACGACACGGAAAGGGAATTCTGCACGATTCGCAAATCACAGTTGCGAACCAAATTTGATTGCAAAAAGATGGATCATAAATAACCGGAAAAAGGGATTCCGGGCAATCGGCTTCGTTGCTCTGAAAAACATTGCCAAAAACAGTGAATTGACATTCGACTATGAATACGACTACAATCCGTATGTGTTTAGCCGAAAAAAAAAACTTTTTAACGCCACGTTGTTCTTCAGAAAAACGAGTCAGAGATGCCTGTGTGGAACAAAAACGTGTAAAGGTTGGATTGGAACTCCTCCACCAGATGTTGGACCTGCTGATGAGAAGAAGACGTCTGGTTCTCTTTGAACCAAAAAAGATCTACCATCAAAACTTTTATAATCGCGCTTTCTGGACCTCACCAATCTCTTCAACCAAAAAACTCCAAAACTTCTACTTGCCCGCATTCTTCTCCAACTTGTAAATAATCAGTTACCTACCTCTCACCAACAAGTTTATCAAGTCCATCCAAAAGACGTCATTGCTATCCCTGCCGAGTATCTTTCCAATTTTTCCAAATCCCGTGATTCCAAGACCTAATACATCATCCGCCAATCCATCTGACTTGTCCGTGGAGACGTCGATAGCCTTCTACGTTGCATCCAAACCGAAATGAAAATGCCTAAGAAGCCCGCCAGCTGAAAGATGAACATCCGTGATCGCCCATCCATCCGCAACGAGAAGAACGCCAACGGTTTTACACTCGAGATGAACGACGACTAACTATCTCCATAAAGATGCTAACTGTCACTTTCGTTGAAGGAAAAATCTATTTTGAGATGGTTGAAACTGAGCTTTGTCTGACAGTCGAGGCCCGTCCATCGGTTGCTGCTACCCACTTTCACGAGATGAGAATGTTCGCTTCATTCTTCGAGCAAGGAGTCAAGGCCCTCCAACCTAGCAGCGTCTACATACTACTCAAATTACAACTTCAAGCTCGTCTATAAGCTCATCTTTCCAGAAAACGAAACATCGATTGTCATCCTCCTCACCCGTGCAATTTTCCTTCAACACCCAGGATTCGCAAAGTTCGACAATGTTGACTCGGAGGAACGAACATTCTGTGTCCCACAATGGCAAGAAAAAATGTCTAGACCCTCCAATCTTCACGCGATTACACTCCACTCGAGATCCAAGCTGTCACTGGATTGAGGGAGAATTCCGAACTCGCTTATATTCTCCTTGTCCCAGAGAGTCAAGAGTCGATTGTAGCCAATAGTTTTGCTCCACCACAACACATTCTCCAAATACGAGCACATCGAGTCTGAGGAGAGGACTTTCACTGATATGGCAACAAAAACTCAAGAGGTTGTGAGCACAAAAAATTTTTTGAAGTCGAGGTCTCCAACTGTGGAAACCAACACTCCGTTGATAACTGGCTTCTTGTCGAGGATAAATGAAGTAACAGTTGAGAAGACTCCACATACCGTAATCGAAATCAACACCGATATCCTCGGGAAGAAGTTTGAGCACCGGCAAGAGAGATCCGAGAACTTCCGTAAGTCTTTCTCCAAGTCAAGAATATCCGAAAGGAGCAAGGGTACTTCTTGCCATCCGCCCAGAAATGCCATCCTCCCTTCGTCAACTCCGTGAGCAACCACACCGTGAGGTTTAACTCTCTCTTACCTCTACCTGGGGATCCCGAAAGAAGAATGAGCTCAATCTGCGAGAAGCAAGTCCGTGTGCCAATGGTCCCAACTCTCATCCTACACCCGCCAACAACTACTTTGCGGACTTTGCGGAAACAACGATGACGAGGTAGAAAGAGATCCTTGATGTTTCTACTAAATTACCATTTTCAGTCCACAAACCGCTGGCCTAATACCTTCTTACAAACGATGAATGCGAGTCCGAAGACCAGCGTCTTGGTGAAAAAAAGAACT